ACTACCAGTCGATAGAATTTGAAAAGTAGGACCCATAGTCCAAGCTTGACGTCACCGAAAGACTGATCTCGAGCCAAACGTCTAATACATAGACAGATCTAGTCGGAGCACAAGTTTTGTCAGAACTTAGAGCTTTTGACCATGTTGTACACCTTTTCAAATTATTTTAGCGTTACCAATGAAGAGAGCTTGAAAAACTACCCGAATGGTCCAAATTTCATGCTCCGACATCAATAATTTCTTAAAATGTTATCCATACAAAATCATATGCATTAAAAAAAGGATCAATTTCTGGGTCGGAATGACCATTTTTTCTTTCAAAAATAACATTTTTTTCGCACAAAAAGCTCAGATTCGTAGAGAACTCGAAATTTTGGGTCAGCAAAAAAAGTTTGTGGGTAAACTTAAGTGAATAATTATTTTATGAGGACCTCAACAATGAAAACTAGGTTCACAGAGTGGTTAGAACTATCTCAGGAATAAAAAAATTTCGAGAGCTCTTATTGTGATATTCGTGATCAGAACATCTGAATCTACAAGCACATATAGTTTTGACTCGAAAAAAATTTTTTTTTTCAGAGGGCTGGCAAATCTCAAACTGTTGCCAGTTTCGGTTGAATGACTTAGTATGTGATATAATTGTAAAAATAAAATATTCAGCTTCTGATAAGCCGAAAACTATCATCGTACATCATATATCAGATATTTACTTTTGTATGAAAGTTTTCAGTTTCAATACATAACAAAGTAAATCAACTCATTCATCTATGTATATATATGAAAATTGAGCAAAGTGCTATAAACGATGGTTGTATGGCTGATANCAGCTTTCTCGAGCGTAACGCGATGACGCTTTGGCCGCAGTACTTTTAACTTTTATCACTAATAAGATTAGCTAGAACGTTTACTGTTGTATCGAAAGATAAGTCTCTGCCTTCCCCATAACCTGTGAAAATTGGAGCTTATTTGAGTGGGCCGTCAAAAATTTATAGCAAAAATAAATGGCGTAACTCGATGACGCGCACGAAACAAAAAGTTGAGGGTAGTGCGTTCGCTCTTTATTTTTCTGCGAATGTGAACTCTTTAGAACACAACACTCTAAAGACTTTTTGTAGTAAACAGTGTGAGGTATTCAGCGATGAAAAATATTTTTCAAATTGACTTCTTATTTTGAAAATAGAATGTTTCTATCAATGTAACGCGATGATGCACTTGTAACGCGATGACGCTTACTTTTACTAACAAGTTTTTTTTATGGCACTTTTTGGTACAAGTACAACTGTAAAGACAACATACTACTTTTTTTTCAATCTATAGCATAAAGAGGCGTCAAATATCACATTTATTAATAATTTTCATATACAAATGATGAAAATAAATTAATCAACGATATCAATATAATAAGTAGTCAATCGATATAATAAAAATAAAAAATCTTTTCGTCATCAAAATAAAATACTATGTTAATATAAAATAGTACAAGATTGGAGTATGAAACACAAAATAACTACTGTACACGTACAACAATCTTGTTCCTAATGCTAATCTTGATAAAATATAGTCTCACTATGTTCATATAAAATAATACTTAATTAAATAAAAGAGGAATATTTTACATGGTACAATTTTTTAACTTGGAAATCGATATGTCTTTTTAGTTGTACTATTCGAATAATATTTATACTCAATTGTATTATTTTCAAGTACATTGATTGAATGGATCTTTTTTGTTTCTGGTACTGTTTGTATTAATTGAAAAATTGGTTCCATTTTTGCTTTTGATTGCTCAATTGAACTTTCTTCTAACTCATTAACATTAATAGTACTTGTTTTAGATCGAGCAATTTCCACAAATTCAGCAGCTGAACTACATTGTTGGCCACTCATAATTGCATTGTAGACCAGACGTTTTGTTGTTCCGCCAACTGCATCTACCACGCCCTTCCCATGGGAGGTGGCAAAAAAATTCCAAGATAATTTGATCTAAATAATTTTAAATTACACTATAATTGAAACTTTGTAAAAGTATAATTTAAATAATTACTTGAAAATCTGCAGCTAAACGACATAGATTCCTAAACAAAAATTTTTGTTTGAACTGTTGGCTTGCACCATCAGAAAATATATGAATTTGTTTTAACTGTTGATATTGTTGTTTCAATTTCAAAAATAAATCTTCTAATACAGCACTTACACAATACTTATCATGTGTAAGATTATCTGTTACATAAACAAATGAATAACCAACATTTAAACACCAAGCATAGCAAGTAATTAATGAAACTGATTTTTTTGAAAAATATGAGCTTTGTATAGAATCTTGAACATCGATTCGAAAATTTTCACTAAAATCAATTTGTAAACAAATAATTTCATTAGTTGAATTTGTTTTTATTTTTTCAAAATAAGCTGCTTGTTGACGTTTAATAAATACATGTGATAAAAATTCATTAACTTTTGATTTCAAAATTGCTAAACAATCTTGAATTGTACCATTAAATTCAACTTTTCTTGAAAAACCATTTTTTAATACCCATTGATACCAATTAATTGTTTGTGTAAAATCAATAACATGTTTTGTTATATTATTATCAAAATTATTTGCACACAAGGAACATCGACTAAACATACAATTTTCATCTGTTTCACAACAGACAAGTGTTGCTGAAAATGCTTGAAGAGAATTTAAACCAGAACATGAAATATATCTTGATAAAGGTTTTATTAACAAATTAATATTTTCGTGATAAGCACATAAACAACTACGATGTGACATGTGAGACTGTAATAAAATATTTAATGGTCGTAAATCATTGAATGATGTTAATGATAAATGAACATTTGTATTGTCATATTCAGTTAAAAATAATGAATGTGCTTCACGTGAGCTAAATAACAGAATTCTTTTTTGTACTGTTGTTGATTGACCATTATCATCTTTAATTGTGATAAAGTCTCGTTTGCCTGGTAACTGATAGCTTATATCATCTCGATTATAAAAATTTATGACCAATTGTTTTAATTCAATTGGTAATGAACGTTGTACACGTTTGTGATGTGATATTGTTTTAGGAATGATGTCAAGTTCTTGTGCAATATGACGTATTACAGTAACACGTTTATTTGTATCTTTTGGTAAAGATTCAACAACACGCTTAACTGCTTTGCCAAGTGTTTGAGGACATTTATATGATGATTGTTTATTATTTGTACCTTCAAGGTTTTTTTTAGCACGATATTTTTTCGATGCTTGTTTTTGCCTATTACGTAATTGTTGTAATGAATAATCATTTAAATTTTTACGTCTATTATTATCACGAATGCGTGATTTTTTTTTTATTTGATCAAATTTTTGTTTATTTTTCAATAAATTTATCCGATACATTTTTTGTCGTTCAGCGTTTGATTTTGCCATTAATTTAGTTATTACCGTAATAATGATATATATTAATATTCAACGAATTTAAAGAATATTAGAATGTTTTCAATTAATAAGAGGTTGATATAGTTTTGAAAGGTACAAAGTTGACATTATTTTTAGAATTAAAGATGATTGACTCGATTAAAACAATACGTTAATTTGAATTGGTACTTTTATTTTTTATTGGCTATTGTTTATGTGGACCAATCGAATATATTCTTATCACAATTTACCAATAATCAATGATACAATCCATTATCTACTCTGAATAGTGAATTTTGAATACTGATTCCATGTCCAAAAACCTCTGTTCTTAAATATCCAAAAATCACGAAAAGTGTAAAAAGCGTCATCGCGTTACGTATGGCTACTATACAATGAATTCTTTTTCTATAAGAATACATGCATCAGATAGCCCATATTAAATTAGCTTTAGACACCGAATGTTCCATAAAAAAAGTTGACGCGAACGAATGAAAAAAACAAAAATACTTATTTTTCGTTACGCGATGACGCTATAAATTTGATAGTTTTACTGAATGTGGCTATGACAAACTATAAAAAATAGGAAATCGATTGTTGTGCCAAATTATACCTTTATTAGCATAGAGTCAAATGCTCTTGATTACCTTTGTGTATATCAAAGTGTATCGATAGAAGTATTAGATTAATTACGAGATTGATATGATTATTCTTCTTTGCATATTAGAGCCATCTTTATTATTAAACACTGACTATGATTCTCAACACTAATTAAAAGAACAAAATATGTTTCTGTACCCTACGAACTATGCTCTACAAGATAGTAATAATGAATTACTGAAATGATGATTTTGAATTTATAGTGACTGAGGTTACGCGTTACGCGTTTTTGCTGA